GGGGGGGCATCATTAGTACTTCGGTGATTGGGAAGGGAGGGCATCGTCAGTACCGGGGTGATCAGGAAGGTTATATGTGCTCTTTGTCATGTTATCTTCCTAACTAGTAGACTCGTCAGGATTTTAATGTCACTTTTTTTCACTCTATCTTCCGTTTTGTTTACTCTTTGCAATAATGTTGTTTGCAGTTGATGAAAACGGCCACGTCAAAAGTGGATGAAATTTCCGAGTTTATCAGGTAGGCTTTTGTTGCTGATGTGTGGCCCATGGAGTGACAGAGCTGCTGTTATTTAGAAATGATCTTTAGGAGTATGTTGCTTGATATAGGTTTTTTAGTAATCTAGTAATGCCAATGAAAAATTGATTTTTTGCTTTCGCCCTTTTTTATTTGGTACCTGAGAAAGGGTTTTCTTTTGTTTGCCTTATGCTTTTTTAAATTTTAAGAATTGTTTCATATAATAAAAAGTTATGGGGTTGCAAAGCGCAGCAAAACATAGGTGGCCCATATAGGAAAAGAAACTTGGCTACTCAATGTGTTTTTGGGTGGAGAAATCATTTACGCAGTCAGATTTATTGTCCATTTTGTAGTCATTTTGTGAAAATTAAAATTTGTGTGTACTTTTACGATTTTGAGAAAGGTGGGTATCAGGATGAGAGCATTTTATTTATAGCATCGTATCACAACATGGGATCTTTAAGAGAATATGTTTGCAGAGTGACTAAATAATTGCAAAACTTTCTTTGATACCTTTAGACCATGTCAACCTTAAAGTATAATTCAATTCAATCTAATGTGCTGTATGATTAAAAAGCTTTATTTTTCCGTTGAGACGCGAACACCCGATGCGACATAAGCGCACCTCGGAACACCCCCTTTACCATGTTTCAGAGGAACAGAGAGAAAAATGACCGGATGCGCGCACTGGCCATTGCCCTATTTCAAATGACCAATGCGTGGGCTTGGAATAATCATGCGGGGAGTTGTAAATGACGTATATTTGATTAGGGCGTGCGGGGAAATTGGCCGGTTTCCTCGCGAAGCTGCTTTGGACAGGGGCGTAGTGGTATATTTATGATAAATTCTGAACAACTACTTGACGTAGAACTTTCAAATCTGAGGACACTGTAGACGAAAGATAGATCTCTTACCTTCGCGACGTTGAAAATCTAGCTCCCTATAATTTACGGAATACCCAATATGAAAGTGTTTCCAACAACAAAAATATAGGTTATGTGTACAAACTTCAACGTCCACATATTATTAGTTTGCCCTGTTTTCTGATTGTTTGCCAAGTTTCATTCATATTGGTCTACAAATAAAGCAGACCGTGTTCGAGAAAGTTAGTCACCTACGTTTTGATCCAGTCCAAAAATACACCTGCAAACGTGGACCAAAGTTTCGCCGCCTTCGCGAGCTCGATTGGCATTGCTAAGTAATCGTCTTTAAGAGTATGTTGCCTGATATAGGTTATTACATAATCGTCTCTAGGATGTGCTTGATATAGATTATTTAGTAATCGTCTCTATCTATGTTGCTTGATGTAGGTTAATTGGTAACTGCCTCTATGAGTATGTTGCTTGATACAGATTATTTAGTAATCGTCTCAATGAGTATGTTGCCTGATATAGGTTATTACATAATCGTCTCTATGAGTTCATTGCTTGATATAGATCATTTAGTAATCGTCTCTATGAGTATGTTGCTTGTAAAAGGTTATTTAGTAATCCGTCTGTGTGATATGCTGCTTGATATAAGTTATTTAATACTCTAAGGTATCAAACAAGCCCCCCCCCCCTTCTTATTAATTTTCAGTTGTTTTACGCATCCCCTCCTCCTTATTCCATACCCCCCATTTATTTTTTTCCAGCTTGCAACCACCGACGATCATGTGAAACATAATGATATAGTATATATATATTTTTAAAAATCTAGATATCTGAATGGAACTTCTCTTTGTTTTTTGTAAATAGCAAATTACCCTTAGTATTAGTACCAGTACCGGGTTGGCTCCCTCAATTTTCTGTGATTTAAAAAAACTGTTGTAAATTGTTTTTTTGTTTTTTTTAAGATGAAACTGGTTTGTTCCTAAATGGGAACAGTTGTCACAATAACTTACTAACATCTGCCACCCCCACCCCCCTACCAGTTTATTATTTTTGGACCACTTGTCCACCCCCCCCCCCTTTTATTTTTATTCCTATATCCCCCCATTTATTCGATACCTTAGAGTAATCCGTCTATGATATGCTGCTCCTGTTTTTGTTTTGTTTTTTGCTAGCGGTGTTTCAGTAGCCGAACTCACACGCAACACTTTAATGGTCAGTATCTCTATGAGGTCTAGGTCAAGTGTCCGATCAGAATGACTGAAAATGAGGCTATTAAGCGAAAGTAGAGTTGTTCTTCTTTCTTTGAGCGTGTGTGTGAATTATAAAGTAAATATGACGAAGTGGAGGGTGCTATTGAGTTGAAACTTGGACAAATCTAGGGAAACTTTGAATTTTTAAAAACATGATTATGTTTTGTATTTTAAAGGATTATCTCCCTTACTCTAGGATTTCAGGGCATGTATGAGGACAGCTCTACGGGGCAGGAGCTAATAAAGGGTGAAAGACTCCATCGTACTGAGGCTGATTTTTGTTTGCTAGTTGGGGGGGGGGGGTGCATCATATTTGATTCTCCATTGAGCTAAACAGGTGGTTGTTTCCTTGAGATGAACAAAATAAAGTGGACCTTTTCTGTTTCTAGACGGCCATCTCTTCTCTGAGCTCTAACGTCTAAGTGTTCTTAGATGGCCGTCACTTCTTAATAGGGCTGTACCGGTACTCCGGTAGCAAACCCGCTCGTGCTCGCATGCCCCTAGTTCAAGTCACAAGCCTCAAATCACTAGGTCAAATCATCAAATCAAATCACCAGCATGATAAGTTGAGTCTAGTGCAAACTGTAACCTCCTTGGTCTAGTCTCTAAACTTCAAGTCCACAGCAACTAGCAATCCGCGAAGCCACTCGTGTCAGACCCCCTCATCATCCCCACCCTGCTTGCAATCCGCGAAGCCTCTTACGTCAGAAAAAGAGAGAGGGGGAGAGTGAGAGATTCCGCCCACAGTGTCACTGCGCGGCGTAGCTCTGTAGTCTGCTCGATTAATCGAAGGCTTTGCAAAGCAGCGGACAGCCGCAAGTCTCAAATCCCGTCCACAGCAACAAGCCCCACGATTCACACAGTACTGATTTGCGCTGGGCCTAGTGAATTGTCCCAAGACAAGCTCGAAACATGACTTGTGCTGTCTCGATAGAGCGAGCAAGCGGCACGTCGCAGGACCGCTCGATGGCGGCAAGACCGCTCAATCACAATGTGTTCAAACAGCAGTACCGCTCGCTGTGTGAACTTTGAACAGCGGAGGAGGAAGGGAGAGGCTGGGCTTGTTTTGGTGAAGAGAGAGAAGTTATTTTTTACTTCCCGCTGTTGATCAGCTAAGCAAGTGGATAAGTGAGAGGGAGCGTGGTATTGTAGTAACAGAGACCTAGGTTTCTGGTAGTAATAAGAATAAGTTGACTTAGATTACCCTAGAATGGAAAACTCCAGGGGTCGTTGTGATTGGCTTTTGTATCGTATGTATGTAACCTATTTTGTAGATGTGTTACACTCTCACTGACATAATACAGAACATTTAGGAGACGGGCTAGGCCTACTTCAACCCAATGCCAGGACCAACCTGGGCTGAGAGGGAACAACGCCCCAGCAGAAACACGGAGGTTCTCAGTAAAAATTTATCCCCATACGGGAATCGAACTGAGGTCTTTTGCGTGCGACGATGAAGCGCTTGGCAAGTGCACATTAAAAATAAACAGGCCTTAACATCGTAAAAATAGCCGATCCAATATTAATTTTTAAGTGCCTTGAATAAAGCTTTGTGGCATCGGTGGCCTAGTGGTTAGGCTCTCGGACTCGCAACCGTAAGGTCGTGGGTTCGAATCCCGTCAGGGGCCCGACGTTGTGTCCTTGGGAAAGGCACTTTACACAAATTTTCCTCACTTTAACCAGGTGGGAATGGGTACCCGGCTATAGACAGCGAAAGATCTTGTCAGTTTGTTAGTGTTTGAGCGCTTAATCAGCTGCTTGCACTGTATGCTTCCCGGGAAGCTGAGAATGTTTCTGAGTGTTCTATGGTCTACTGGGGTAATAATATAGTGTAAAGCGCATAGAGCCTGCTATTGAGCGGGGATATGCGCTATACAAAAGCTATTTATTATTTTATTATTATAATTATTTTTGTTTTTTACAACCGAACTATGTAAAAAAAACAACAATCTTGCACTTTTGGTGCAAGCCTCTCAACGCATATAACCAGAGAATCTTTTGTAATATGTACTGAGCCCACAGCAACGAAGGTTCGCGGCGTCACGACACTGTACAGCAGGACTGTCCGCGAGTCACAACTCACCGGAAGTTCCCCCCAGTAGCAAGCGGGAGGCAAAGCAAATCACAAGCCTGCTTGCAAGCCTCTAGCGCGAGCCGTCCGCTGCTTTGCAAGCCTTCGATTAACCGAGCAGAATCCAGCCCTACTTCTTAAGCTCTAAGCTTTAAAAGTTCGTAGATGAAATCCCTCCGTTCCAGGGTGGATGACAATATCTCGTTACACGAAGCTGGACAAAAACATAAAGGGTATGACCCTGTTGTTGTACACTTGTATAGTGCAGTAATTACGAATTATAACATTTGTATAACGCAAAGTCCTCAACGGCAAGCTCTATACGCTATACATCTGTATTTATTACCCCTGCAAACTGGATAGCATTCTGAAACAATTTCCATTTCATGGCATGCACACCGTACAAGCTGCTATTTTACAGGCGCTGAAACACTGAGATACTGACTTGCTAGTTTAGGTGTTGGAACAGGTCAATGTAGCGGGTGTTGGAAAAAAAAGAAGACCCACTTTAAAGCAATAACTGGTCATCTTTGAACTAATTTCAACAGAACTTTGAAGAAATAAAATCCTCTGATATGAAAAAAAATCAATCTACATTTTCGAAAAACATCTTTCAACCAAAATTGAGTGAAAGGCAAAACTTTGCAATTTTTTAGAATTGATCCCTCTCGTTCTATTTGTAAAAGTCACTTTATATGTATGCCGTGAAGAGCACATACATAAATACAAAATTGATATTGCCCAAAAAAACTCTGGGTAGCTGTTCGAATCTCAAGATGTTGACCATTTCTGTCCATAAAGGCTTCAATATGCCACTGGAAATTGTGAATAACCTCTTGGCATGTTTCTGGGTGGATTCTTTGGACGTCTTGTTCAGTATTTTATTTCAACTGTTTGAATTTTTGTGGGTTGTTTCCGTAGATTGGGTCTGTCAACAAACCTCAAAGGTAGCAATTGAAGTGGCTCAAGTTGGAGTGGGGGGGGGGGGGGGGGGGGGGTGACCATTCAGTAAACTTTCAGCTTATAAGCCCCAACCTTTCATATAACTACTATTGGTTGTATCTCTGTGAGTTTCATGCCAGACAACATACTTTTTGCTTGTGTCTGTGTGAGTTTCATGCTAGACTACATACTTTTTGCTTGTATCTGTGTGAGTTTCATGCCAGACTACACACAGACCCGTTGTGTCAGGGCAGGTCAGGAAACAGTTTTGACACCAGTGATGTGAGTGGTTGGCAGGTGGTCTGGTGTGGTTTGCTCATTCTTTCCTGTGAAAATCGGTGGCCCTTATCTCTCCTCCTTTATTCCTTTCTAACAATCTACTCTACTTATCTCTCCTCCTTCTGTCCTATTAAACACGTTGTCCTTATCTCTCTTCTTTCTTTCCAATCAAACATCTATGGTGCTTATATTTCCTCCTTTCCTATCAAACGTCTATTGTCCTTCTCTCTCCTCTTTCTTTCATTTTCTTTTCTCTAAAATTGTCTTTTTTCACCTCCTTTCCTGCTCTCAAGCAATGTTCTGTTGTCTGCTTTCATTTCCACTTTCTGCCCCCACCTCCTCACCTTTGCCCCCTCCTCTGGGCTCCTGACTCTTTCTGCAGCCTTTCTACTGCTACTCCTTGGCTCCTCCTTACTGCTGTCTTTCTGCCTCACCCCTGATCTTCTGGTAGGAAAGATCTACACCTAGCCTTCTCGGACAAGGGCGAAAAATCTAGGAGGGCCCGTGTGCAAGTTGCGCACGTTAAAGCTTCCTTGGTGGTCTAAAATCGACAAGAGTAGGCTTCGGCTGCCACCAGGGCAAAATTCAAAATTTCCAACCAACTGAAAATTATAGGTGTGTCCTGCGCACTCAAATGACCTTATGCAGTTGGGAGCGCTATGAAACACTTTACAAAAACAAAAACTCTCTTTCATTTGTATGTACTCTGTAGTAGCACTTCTAATCTTTGTCACTAATATGACCTATTTGTGTCTCAAGTGCCGTAAAACGCTGACTTAAAGTTAACGCCAGTGGTAATGCATTGATTGTGTTCTCAGGAAAAACCACCCGTATGATGTTGCTGCAGTTGTTTCTACAAAGGTACCGTATATATATATATATTTATATATATATATATATATATTATATGTGGTGTGGATGTTTGGGTGTATGTGGTGTTGATGTACATGGTGTGGGTGTACGTGGTGTGGATGTTTTGGTGTACGTGATGTTGGTGTACGTGGTTTGGGTGTGCGTGGTGTTGATACACATGGTATGTGGTATTGGTGTACGTGGTGTGGATGTACGTGGTGTGGATGTACGTGGTGTTGGTGTACGTGGTGTGGATGTACGTGGTGTGGATGTACGTGGTGTGGATGTGCGTGGTGTGGATGTGCGTGGTGTTGGTGTACGTGGTGTGGATGTACGTGGTGTGGATGTACGTGGTGTTGGTGTACGTGGTGTGGATGTACGTGGTGTTGATGTACGTGGTGTGGATGTGCGTGGTGTTGATGTACGTGGTGTGGATGTACGTGGTGTTGATGTACGTGGTGTGGATGTACGTGGTGTGGATGTGCGTGGTGTTGGTGTACGTGGTGTGGATGTACGTGGTGTGAATGTGCGTGGTGTGGATGTATGTGGTGTTGGTGTACGTGGTGTGGATGTACGTGGTGTTGGTGTACGTGGTGTGGATGTGCGTGGTGTTGGTGTACGTGGTGTGGATGTGCGTGGTGTTGGTGTATGTGGTGTTGATGTACATGGTGTGGGTTGACGTGGTGTGGATGTGCGTGGTGTTGGTGTATGTGGTGTGGGTGTACATGGTGTGGGTGTACATGGTGTGGATGTTTTGGTGTACGTGATGTTGATGTACGTGGTTTGGGTGTACGTGGTGTTGATACACATGGTATGTGGTATTGGTGTACGTGGTGTTGATACACATGGTATGTGGTATTGGTGTACGTGGTGTTGATACACATGGTATGTGGTATTGGTGTACGTGGTGTTGATACTGTACGTGGTGTGGATGTTCGTGGTTTGGGTGTGCGTGGTGTTGATGTACGTGGTGTTGATGTAGGTGGTACAGTCCATGCATGTTTCTGAATGTTACGCACTCCTTGTGTTATGTGTCTGAACGTTACACACACACACACACACACACACACACACACACACACACACACACACACACACACACGCACACTGTGTCATCTGTGTCAGGTGTCTCAATGTTACACACACACTGTGTCATCTGTGTCATGTGTCTGAATGTTACACACACACTGTTATCTGTGTCATGTCTCTGGATGTTACACACTCACTGTGTCATGTCTCTGGATGTTACACACACACTGTGTCATGTCTCTAGATGTTACACACACATTGTGTCATCTGTGTCATGTCTCTGGGTGTTACACACACACCTTACCATGTCTCTGGATGTTATACACACACTGTGTCATTTCTCTGAATTTTGGAGGGCGCGACTGGTAAGTCCTGCTCCTTTTCTTTCCCTCTGTTTTTTCTGTCTATCTGTGTGGCCGCTTCCCTGCACTATTATGGCTGTAACTGTGTCCGTGTCTGCTTCTCTTTACTCAAACTTAAGAGATATACTTGTGAGGCAGCGTGGTGAAATCTGGCACTTGTGAAAATAATGGAATTGAAGAAACTGCCATTTTCCTACCGGTCAAATTTTTGTTTTTTTGGCTCAAAAACACATTTTTTTGGTAAATTTTATTGGAAAATGTTGATTTCAATGCACAAAAAATGTACATATTTTCAGATTCCAAGGGCTCTCAAACTATGGAAGTTGCCAGACTTAGGCGCCCATTTTCTCACTAATTTTACCTATGAGACCAGGTGACCCCCGCCTCCTTCAGTGGCGAATACCTCGACTTTTATTCAAGATAGATTGTATTTTTTTTTCATCGAAAGCAGGAAAAATGAACAAGCTTTAAGATGATACCTATAATTCCACATGCTCAAAATTTGATGAGTGCCTGATTCCACAGTGTCATGACACATTTTTTTGGTGTCAAATCTTTCAGATAGACAATGGAAATCCACCGTTCCTGGACTGGATCTCGGACACAGTTGGCGACAAACCCGAACCGGCGGCAAAGAAGAGTCGGTCCAACGATCAGTGAATTCTGCTTTGTCGTGTGTCTCGGTGCTTTTGGTTGTTGGCAGGTTCAGAGATGTTTGTTTGTACCGAAGTGAGGACATCTACAGGTTTTTACGTGACAGGCTAGAGCAGCGTGACTTGACACGACATAGCCACATGACATGATAGTGCAAAACGACATGACGACACAACACGTTAGAGCCGGCATGATGAGACATGATACGAGACATTAGAACCAGCATGGCACGACACGACATGCTAGAGCTGCATGACCCAACATGACACAACTCGACATACTAGAGCCAGGACATCATGACACAACACGACGTGAGACGCTAGAGCCAACGCGACGCGACACGCTACAGCAGCATGAGCATGACTCGACATGACAAGAGACACACTAGAGCCAGAACGACATGACATGACACGATACGACATGACACTACATAACATCTGTTTTCAGCTCCAGTGTCAATGTCGGTTGTCAATTGTCAGTTGTTGGGGACTGTCTCTGTGTGATCTGTTAACAGCTGTAGTGTCATTTGTCATTGTCAGTTGTCAGTTGTCGAAAACTGTCTCTGATCTGTTGACAGCTGTAGTGTCAGTTTTTGGGGACTATCTCTGTGCGATCTGTTGACAGGTTGAGTGTCAGTTGTCACTTGTCAGTTGTCAGTTGTTGGGGACTGTCTCTGTGTGATCTGTTGACAGCTTGAGTGTCAGTGTCACTTGTCAGTTGTCAGTTGTTGGGGACTGTCTCTGTGTGATCTGTTAACAGCTCTTGTGTCGGTGTCAATTGTTGGGGACTGTCCCTGATCTGGTGACTGCTACATACATGTATTTATGGGGAAAAAACTCTTGCCATTGATTGATGAGGAATGTTAACGGAGAGCAAAATTATAGTTGCGCATTTACAAATAACTCAGAGTTTGGATGTTTATAACTTGTACTTTCTTGTGTTAGTCTTCAGGTGTGTGACCGTGTAAGTGTTTGTGTGTGTGTGTGTGTGTGTGTG